GGGGAGGGAAGGGAAAAGGCTGTCAGCTTGCAAGATTGTGTTACTATAGCCTCTCTCAATCAAGTAGAGTTCCAGTCATTCATGAGGTCCACCTTGAAGGGCAGAAAGCCCCTAATATGAAATCTGATATTGGTATTCTGGCTAACGAAAAAATGCTGCCAGATCAGTGGCTAAAGTGAAGATGGCAAAAATACAGGTTATTCTGCAGTATATAGTATTTTGTTTTCTTCATTTTTCTATCAGCAGAGACATTTACATCAGTATATGAAGAGACTTTGACATTTCTGAGCTTGGGCGGTTGTGCTCATTCTGCCTAATCCGTATCATGATTTCTGTTCGAATCCCTAACTTAGAGCCACCCTTCCCAGTCTGCACACTGGCTTGGGACCACAATTCCCAAAACTGTTGGCCTGCCTGTTCCTAGCAGTTGCAGTCTCGAGGGCACCCGGTTGAGGAAACTGGCTCTGGGTTTTTATGCTAAATTGACCTTGCTGAGATTCATATTGCCGTTGATGACTTTCTGAAGTTGCTTTTCATATTACACTTTCAGCCACACAGTCTGTAGATCATTCATTTGATGGCGTATCCAAAAAACCGGAAGAAGGTGCCTGAGACGAAACTTTTAATTTTACCAGTCCTGTTGCATCTCAGAGAATAAATCAAAACACGTACAACCTTTTTAATTAGTGGTTTACTGCTTTCCACTCGAGAAGGTGAACAAGCCTTGCATTGCACGCTCGGCTTCCGCTCCTTTGGTTGCGGTTCAGGATGGGGACAGGCATGCGGTCATCCTCCTCGGTGTAGCTTCTGAGGGCCAAGAAACAGGGGTGCCCCATTTCACCTTGTGTGTTCGGTGGAAAGCAGGAGGAACCTATTAAAGAGGTTTCGTGTGTGGGGAAAATTTGCATGCCGTTCTTGTGATGGGATTTTTCACTTCCCAAACCCATTTCTGGTCCTTCTTTGCCCTGATCTCATTTCCCTCCTGTCTCCTGATGTATGTTGCTGATCTCCAAATGCGAGGATGTTTGACTTTCCCGTGGCATTGACTTAACTGTTTCAAAGGCCGGTATCAACATGGAAGCTGTATTTCGTGCTGTCCTCTAGACCATATTTATGACACTTGATACTATTTATAACGTTTTGCTGGCTAATCATGGTCTAAATGGAAATGCTTCAGCTGGGTTGGCGGAAATTCATTAAGGCAATGGACAGAGGTATCTTGTCTTTAAGGAACAGCAGCTTCTCCATCTTTTTTTAATTCATTGGGGTTCAAAAGGCTTCCTCAAATATTTAGGCATTTTCTCTGATTTTGGAAAGCTGTATCAGTATCAGGAAAGGTAGCCCAAATGTAGCCCCTTTACTTTCCCCCTTAAGCCCTGCCTGGAGAAGGGCAGGCGATCGATTGATCCATCCATCCATCCATCCATCCATCCATCCATCCATCCATCATCTTCCTTCTCCTCTCCCCTCCCTTCCCCTCCTCTCCCCCTTCTCCTCCTCCTCCTCCTCCTCCCCCCATTTTGGGGTGGGTAAGGGATGAAACGAGTGTGTTAAATCATGTTGCTCTTTGAAACACCCTCCCCGCTCTAAGCGAGGTTGGTTTAGCTGTCAGGATCAAAATTATTGCCCTGAGTTATGCAGCACCCGAAGCTCCCATTTCATCCAAGCCCCACCTGGCCAGCTGTTTTTGCCCCTCCAGTCTGCTGATGCCCTCTGCCAAAGGGCACAAAGGCAACCTGCAGCCTTGAGGTGAAAGTGGTTGTGCAGTTTTTTTCCTCCCCAAAAATGTTAGATAATCGTGAGAGCAGGCTGTTCATCCGTTATTCTCCCTCAATATGCAGGGCGTCCCAAAAGTCAGGCCCCCTAGACAATGTATTATATAAATTATGTTAAACGTTGGAACTGCTTGCCATATTCTTCTAAGCATTTCCTTCCCTATTTGACGCATGGCCTTTGAACATTCTTAAGTACAGTAACATCTTCTCTGAAAATATATTAATTAATAAAGCGTATTGGGATTGGCTTATGGGCCCTGAGTTTTGGTATATCCTGTGTGTGTGCATATATAACGTGTGCGTGTTTGCGTGTGTGTTTATTTCTGCCCCTCTTAGCACAGCCTACCCGTCCTGTGCGTGCTCTCCAGCAGTAGGCATAAGTGGTGATTCCCCTCCGACATGGGGCTTCTGACCCTGCCTGGGCTAAATTCCAGTTTGGGAACCCCTGAGGATCCGCTGTTGTTTTTTACTGACAAGGATAACCGGTCCTTTGCTCTTTTTAAAATGTCCCCAGTAAAAAGCTCTTTTGAACCAGCCTGGCTGAAAACCTGCCTTTGATTAAGACAGATAGACCGCGGTGTCACAACCGACTGAACGATCATTTTGATGTGATTATTCTCACGGGGGACTGGGGAGGGTGTCGGAAAAGTCAAAATGGTCTCTGTGACCGTGCGATCGAAGCCAACCGTGCCGGGCTTCAATGATCCTGTTGCAGCCGCCACATTGACTTTTTTGATCCCCGATTCATCCCTCCCTGGGGCACTTCCTAACCAAAGCAGGCTGGGCGTCACAATGTGACCTTCTGCTGATGCTCTTCCCCCTCTCTTCCTGTTGGAGGAGCCTTCTGAACCCAGGGGATTGAGGACGGGAAGCTTCATGTTGGTACTACAGTTGGGTGAGAAGAGCACCACAGCCACGTGTGTTCACGCACAGTACATTTCGGGATTGCTACACAACGTCTCATGGCACTTTCTGGTGTTGCAGGCAAAGACAAGAAGGGGACCTGTAGTCTCTCCCGCATGGACAGCACCACCTGCCTCTTTCCTGTGGAGGAGAAAGCCGTGGAGTACTACTTTGCCTCTGATGCCAGGTCTGTGGCATGTGCAGAGGGCGCCGGAGTGGTTTCCCAGAGAGAGGAATGGTGGCCTTGACCGTTGCACGCCCCGCTGAACCCTTGCTTCCAGAAGGGAGGCTGTACCGTCAGCCATTAAAGACATCTTTTAGTCCCTTCAAGTAATGCAAGAACGGGGGGCAACTTTCCAAGCCTTAGGGGCTGTAACCTGGCCCCCTGCCCAGCTAGAGATGCCACCAAAGCGTGATCCCACTTCCCTGGAAGGGAAGGGGCTGATTTGTTCCCCTTTTTTATTTGGCGGGGGGGGTAAGGAAGGAATGGGAGCAGGAATGTTGAGGGAGACCAGCCATTCTCATTTCCCCCCAGGACGGTGCTACTGTTGTTTAACAACAAATTGGCTGAATTTTAATGGCATCATTTGGTCTGTTTGGGGGGTTATTGGTGGGAACTGGAGAGATCTATCTCACCAAGGCCTCTCTTTCTTGTTTTTGTCATTATTTTGGGGAAAAAAATGTGCTGCAGATAATAGCCTGTTTTGTGGCTGAATTTTGGTGACCTGATCTTAAGATGTTGAGCTTCAGGTTGACCATCCATGGTTTAGATAATCTGTTTCTATCGATGGTTGAAGCGACCAAAAATGTATCTCACATGGGCTTGTGAAACTTCACAGACACGTCCATGGAATTTTTGTGGCAGCTGTAGAGAGTAAGGAAGATGACCTTGATGGAGATATGCAGGAACCATTACCTAGGCAAAGGGGGCTGAAACATTTTTGAAGTCCAGAACAGCAAGATAACATTCATTCATTCATTCATTCATTCATTCATTCATTCATTCATTCATTCATTCATTCATTCATAAGATTTGTATGGCTACCCATCTTAAAACACAACTCTGGGCAGGAAACACAGCTCATTTGGAAGAGGCTTGAGCAGATGCCTCCCTAATTTGCTGGAGGAGGAGGAGGTCCAGCACAATCAGACTTGCAAGATTCTGTGATTATAGCCAATCCCAGCAAAGGTAATTCCAGTCATTCTGTGGAGTTGATTTCCTGGTCTATACCTGGTGCAGCAATGTGGAAGTATATGCTACAATTGCTACTGACCAGTAGGAGTCAGCATGCAACCGGTTTTGCCCTTATTGGGGCTCATCAAGCACAGGTAGTCCATATGCTTGAACCCTTTACTGGAATTTGAACTTTCAGGGCTTTGCACTTAGGTGATCATATAGCACATTAAGCTTCAGAACTATCTTGGCCTGGTTGTCAGTAGCTTCTGATGGAGGTGATTTGCAGCTCACATCTTCCATGTTTTTTCAACTTCCTAGTCAAGCCTATCACCCTGGAAATCTCCAGAGGTCTACCTTTGAAGCATGAACCAGGCTGAACTTGTCTGGGCTTGGAAGCTAAGCTAAGCCTGCCCATGTCTGGGGAACATCCCTCAGAGCGACACTTATTCGTTGTGGGAATGCTACAGGCTGACCATTTGCTTGTTAGAACGCTGGCCTCCAGTTTCTTTAAATGAAACAGACATGAAGAAAACTCAAGTCAGTGGGGTAGAGAGCCAGATGAGGTAGAGGGGTGGGGTTTCCTGGTACATTATTGGACATGGGCACTTCATAATCAAACCCTACCTTGTAGAGAAAATGGGGCATCAGGTAACATTGCACTGAATTCCTTAGAGGAAGGGCAGAAGAAAAAGAAAATGAAGCTGTTGTAGAAGCTGGAAAGTCCCTTTCAGTGAAATAACTAAGTTTATGTGAACATTTGTCAAGTTTATGTGAACATGTGATTTGTCTTTGGTGGTTCTCCTTCACAATCATCCTAGTTTCCTTTCACAAGAATTTTAAGTTAAACATTTGAGTATCACTCTGCTTTGACAGGTATGGTTGGTACAAGGAGTACAAATAATGGTACAAATTCTATAGATCTCACTTGGTTTCAGAATTGTTTTTTTAAAAATCTTTTTTTCCCCTCAAAAATGTTTGTTCATAAGCATCCCATTCTAAATTTGTTTGTGTGGGTTCCTACAAGAGATGTTAAGCCATTCTCAACCATTCCCTTGCAGTGCTGTGATTGAACACACCAACCGGGTGATTTTTCTAGAAGATGACGATGTGGCTGCCGTGGTAGAGGGCCGCCTTTCCATACACCGGATCAAGCGAACTGCTGGAGATCACCCTGGCCGGGCTGTTCAGACCCTACAGATGGAGCTGCAGCAGATCATGAAGGGTATGGATGAGGGTTAGGGCTTCTCAAACGTTTTGCTTGCCAGTCTGCTGCTGATGTGTTCACAGCTCCTAAATGTGTAAATCTACCATCTTGCTCTGCTGTCTCTTTAGAAAGTTCCTTCAGGTACTGTCAGATAGGGTATGCGGGATTCACTCAAGGTCAGTATTTCATGACTGTTCACCTGGAATTTGGATTCTCCCATAAGCTCTTCTTAATTGTCCAGTGGTCATGTGCCCTCCTCTCCAAGATGATTGAGCCATAGAGGAGTGGAGAAATTTGGCTTTTCTTTATTATTCTTTGCCATCTTCACTCAGCAGCTGGTAGACTGTTTTTCCTTTTCCTTTTAAATATATGCGAACACCCTAGTAAAGTGAACTTAAGATCTACTGACACCAATGGAATTAACCCATCAGTTTTGAAAGGAATCATGGTTTAATTTAACCAATTTTGGTTAATTTAACCATTTAATTCTGAAAGGAATCATAGTGAAATTAACCATGACTTGCTGAATAAGCCCCATTAACTGAACTCACACAATACATTAAGCCATAAACCATGGCTTCTAAATCACAGTGGTTCGTGGTGTGATTTTTTGTTTAGATGTTGCCTTTGCACTTTGTTGAATTCAGCATCAAGAAAGACCTTTCAATTCTTCCAGATACACAATGGTTCAAGTTAATTACCCAATACTACTTATACAGCATTTTACAATAATACTGTTCCGGCTTACGTACAAATTCAGCTTGTGAACACAGCTCATTCTTAAACTGGGACTATCTGTACTTCCCTCTTTGTATTCCAAGGTTATCTTTTCATTAATCTTGTTTCTGCTGTTTATGTTGTTGCTATTCAGTGGCTGTTTGAGTTGATTATTTTAATTGACTAGTCTACCGTTTGCAAATTCATTTTATGCTGCAGTTCTTTATTTACAGTTGTGAGACACAAACTTTAAGAGTGCTTTTGATGAAACTAATTGTAAGCTGCCTTGGGAAAATTTTGGAAGACATATTTTTAAATAAAAATAATGAAAGAACTATCTTTTATGCATTTACTGAAAAGGAAGTCCTAATGAATAGAAGGCTGTTTTACTCCCAGATAAATGTGTGTTGCATTGCAGCTTTATTCTGGATCAAAGCATCATAAAAAAGTGTTTCCTTCTTGCAGTTCTTCTTCCAGCAACAATTAATCAATTTAAAAAGTTGAGTCTCACCCTTCTACCAGTTACTCGTGTAACCTTGGATGTGAATGCATAGACCTGTTATGTATTCATATGATGAAAATGGTAATTTTGTATTTTCAGAACGATGAAATTGATTTTTCTGTTGAATTATGTCTGTAGAATTGCACTGAGGATGATTTTATTTCCGAAACCAGAATGGCAGTACAGTATTACCTCTATTCAGTGGACTTTCTGTTGTTCTTTCAAGGTAACTTCAGTTCATTCATGCAAAAGGAAATATTTGAGCAGCCAGAATCTGTTGTGAACACCATGAGAGGAAGAGTCAACTTTGATGACTACACAGGTAAAGGCCTTGGGATTGTGTTCTGCTCAGAGCATCAGATTTTTATATAAAGTTCTTTCTTTCAAAAGGTGGTTAAGTAGGATAGATTTCATTCACAGAGAAGATCTGTAGACATTCTTCTAACACTGGAGAATGACGATAACTCTGCTTCTCTGCTGCTAATTCTCTACTTGTGAGCAGGTTCTTGGCTGGATCTTGGCTGCTATACTTGCTGTGGGCCAACGTGTCACATGATAAACACCTCTGGCTACTTTGCTCTCTGTTTATCCCCAGAGGTTGCTTTGCCTGGTCCTGTAGCACATTTTGACCAGTTCTTTTATGGGTGAGGGGTAGAGTCATTGAGCCTCCTTTTGTAAGAATTGCTAAAAAAATCCTGCAGGATCCTTTATGTTGAAGTTATTCTGCTTTTCTCTGAGCTATTTTCATCAAGTCTTTGTATCATTACTTATTGCAGTGAATCTTGGGGGCTTGAAAGATCACATCAAGGAGATTCAGCGATGCCGGCGCCTGATCCTCATCGCTTGTGGAACGAGTTACCACGCAGGCGTCGCAGTGAGTGGCTGAACCGAAGTAGCATTTCAAACTTTTTGAACAATTAGCAATGCCCTGCACTGGGAAAACGTGTGTCATACTACTGAGACTGCAGCTTTTACTTGTCTGTGCACGGGTGTCAGCAGGGGGGTCAAAAAAGTCAACATGGTATCCACAGCCATGCGATTGAAGCCGCCCCCCCTTTTTGCGTGCTTTGCTAGTGCTGGTGAGTGCAGCAAAGCGCCTCGTTCCGATACTCTGAACAGCCTGACAGGTTAGACCTCTGGATCCTGTTGAAACAGGAACAGTTTCTGCAAGATGGTTAATTTACCAGCCTGTGTATGGAATAAATAATATGCACATAAATATGCACACCAAGGGGCCTGCAACTTCCTAATGGTGCTTTACTTTAATTTTATTCACATCTCAGATGAGTGAGGATAGGATTAGAAACGTTAGGGAGATCTAAATGTTGGGGGATGACTCGTCGAGCCTTTGCTACTGTGGTCTCGTTCTCTGCCTGTTGGGCCACATGATAACTCATGAGTGCATCCAGATTAATTGACCAAGGTTTAGATATGCTGTCCCAAACACAAATGGAAACTCTCTAGATTTGTGCCTGGCCTTCTAATAGGAGGAGGAAACTACTTTAACTTCCAGTTTAATTTCCTCGTTTGAGCAGCAAAACAATGATTTGCCCAAGCTATACAGGTAAATCATGTTAAAAAGAAAGCACATTCTTAGAAGCTTCGTTAGTATGTCTAAAGATGCTATCTAGATGTGTGTTCCAAAGAATCTCAGTCTATAAGAATTGAACATTACAGGTAATCCTCATTTAACGACCATTATAGGGACTAGAAAATTGGTTGTTAAGCAGGGTGGTTGTGGCAGTTGTTAAGTGAATCAGACCTGATTTTACAACCTTTTTTGTGGCAGTTGTTAAGTGAATCATGCAGTTCCCCATTGATTTTGCTTGCCAGAAGCTGGCTGGGAAGGTCACAAATGGTGATCACGTGATCCCGGGACGCTGCAACCATCATAAATACATGCCAGTTGCCAAGTGCCTGAATTTTGATCATGTGACCATGGGGATGCTGCGACAGTCATAAGTATGAGGACCGGTTGTAAGTCACTTTTTTAGCACCGTTGTAACTTCAAACTGTCACTAAATGGATAGTTGTTAAGTGAGGATTCCCTGTATTGATTTTGGACATTTGGGTGGGTGACCGTCGGATGGGAAAAATTAAAGCAGCGTTGCCTTTCTCTGATACACACACACTTCAACACTTAATTTATATTTAAATGACAAAAATGGCCTTTGAGGATGGAGACAGGCATCACTTCCAGAACCTGCAACTGGACCTTGCAGGACTGGAAATGTGTGACTTCCTCTTGTTCTGTTTCTTCCTTTCCTTCCCTCCCCCCACTCCCCATTATTCCCCCAGACTCGCCAAGTGCTGGAAGAGCTGACTGAGCTGCCTGTCATGGTGGAGCTGGCCAGTGACTTCTTGGACAGGAACACTCCGGTCTTCCGAGATGACGTCTGCTTTTTCATCAGCCAGTCAGGTGGGATGGCCAGAGGAGGCCTCTGTGAGAAGATGTGGGTTGAGAAGAACATGAAAAGAAAGTTCACCCAGATTCTTAGTGACTCACTTCATTCCTGGCTTGCCGGCTGGCTTTTCATATAGGTCAGTATTGTCCAAACTTGGCCACTTTAAGATGAGTGGACTTCAACTCCCAGAATTCCCCAGCCAGCATCTGGCTG